TTCCTTTTAATTCCATTACCTCATTGTGAAGTTTTCTTCTTTCTTTTTCTGAATGAATTAATTTATCTTCAGTTTTTTCTAATTCTGATTGTAAAAATTGATTTTGTTTATTAAGACTTTGGATTGTTTCTAATAATTCTTGTATTTTATTTTGAGCATTTGCATTCATTTGTTTTTCCATTTCCCAATTCCCATTAGTTGTTTCAACAGTTCTTTTAAGTACATTGAGTTGATTTTTTAATGATTCATTTTCAAATAAAATTGATTGTTTCTCCATTTCAACACTTTTTATCTTTTCATTATTTAATTTTAATTCTGATTCTACTTTTTCTAATTCTTTTTTTAATTCGTTTTGAACTGGGTTGACAAGAACTTGATTTGCTCCAATAACCTCTGTCCTTTCTATTTCATCCTTTTTTAATTGTTGTAATTTTTCTTCCATTATTTCTCCTAATAATTTTGTTAATTCACTTGTATCAAATGTTGGTTGTTTAGTAAAGGTAGGAATTGGCTTTGAACTTGATAATTTTAATGAAGAATGTTTTGTGTTATTTTGTGGTTTTGTAATAGTAGTTTCCTTTATCAAACGAGGTTTAGATGCGTTATGATGTCTTATTAAAGGTGTACTTCTAAACAATGGTGGAACTTTAGAAAAGTCAGGAGGTGGTTGTGCTACATGTTTATAGAGATCGTCCGAATGTGGAAGTGACATTTGATCACCAATAACTAAAATTTTCAGATTTTTTCTCTTTTAGTCAAAAAATTTGTTTTTTCCCCTCTTTCTTTTTTGAGGGATTAAGAGTAAAACATCTTTATTAGGACAAAATGAATCGATTTTCCTATGACCAACATACTGAACAAGAAGATTATGACTCAATTAAATATGATAATTTTCGTATTATGTCATTTTATTTCTTTGAGTTATTAAAAAATGTTATTATAAAATCCTCTAATTTTTTTTGACATTTTAATTTTTCCTAATTTGGAGTTATTGAAAAAGTGATAAATCTTTATTAGAACACACAAATAACTTCTATTAAATATGAAACAAACAAAAAAAAATCAAAAGAGTTATTTCTCTATTTTCAAATATAAAACCGTTACAATTTTTTATTAATATTGAATGCCTAAGAAAAGGTTGAAGATAATTTTTATCTTCCTTTTTAGTATTAATTTTGTAGAAAATAATGAATAAGTAAAGTTTATTAGAATAACCTATAAAATGTTATTCTTTGATTTAATTTAGAAAATAGCTATAGTGAATCTTTATTAATATATTTTGAATGTAAAACGTCATTTTAATAATATGAAAAAAGATATTTAAAATTATTTTAATAGTTTTAATGAATAAAGTATCTTGAAGTTATATTATTAGAGAAAATTAACTTATTAAAATAAAACCAAGTTAAACCAAATATAAAAATAATTTATTAAATATTTATTATTTTATTGTAATAAAGTTAAAAATATTTATGTTTAAAAAATAGATTTATAATAAAGACAAAACAACTCAGCACGTACTAAGATAGACTATTGTTTTGAAAATCATAATTATATTACACATTATTTATTTACATTAGATTTGTGAATAAGAAGATATTTTTATAATAATATCATTCAAATTTGTTAGAATAATAATACATCTCTTGATTCTATTTCTTTATAACTTAATTTGTTTGAATAATACACACTTTAAATAATTATAAATGAAATTATATCTATTGTTATTTTGTTATTCTTATATTTTTTTTTAATTTATTATTTTATTTTGACAAACAGTAAAGAGATTTATTTGAATATTTGTAATGATGTTAAGTATTTATCTGTTAAGACTATTCCTTAGTTTTTTTTAGAAAATGAATAAATTTTGTTGTCAATACTTGTTTTCTTTTATACCTCATGATTTCTTATATTCATATAATTATGTTTTTCGTTATAAATTTATTTGAAAATATATTTAGAGTATATATCTATCATACGTTCATAAGTTAAGTTTTTTTATCTTATGTAACAGATAAGTTATAAAAGAAGAACAAATCAGTTAAATTAATCTTTTTTAAAAATATAAATCTTAAATTAAAAATGAAAAATGAAAAAAAGAGAAGATTATGTTTGTAATAAGGAACATAATAGCAATATTAATGTTTATTGCTATTGTCTATATGTATTTTGATTTCCCACAACAATTTCAACAAATTTCATTTCAACACTATTTCATTCCATCAAATGATGGTTTATCATCACCATCATTAATAAACCCTAATAACACTGTTACTCTCAAATTACAACATTATAATGTATCATCATATGTTGATCCAAGTTGTCCAGAGGGAATTGATGTTGTTTGGTTATGGGTAAATGGAAGTGACCCAACATTTAGAAAACAATTGGAAAAGAACGGAAAGAAAGGGGGAGAAGGGAGATATCGAGATTATAATACATTACAATATTCTATTCGGTCTGTATATAATTTTGCACCATTTATCAAGCATTATTTTATTGTTACAATGGGACAAACTCCATCTTTTTTAAATACTTCTCAGTTTGAATGGAATGAATATACTCTTAGAATAGTTGACCATAAAGAAATATTTCCAAACACCAAAGATTTACCAGTATTTAATTCAAATTCTCTTGAAGTATCATTACATAATATCAAAAATTTATCATCATGTTTTCTTTATCTCAACGATGATATGTTATTAGGGAAAGAATTAAAACCAGAACATTTTATTAATTCAGATGGAAAATTAAAAGTATATCATAACTCATGGAAAGCACCTGACACAAATAGAATGGTAAAAAATATTTGGCATAGAAGTGTAGGTAATTCTAATGAACTTATTAACAAACATTTTGGTAAATCAAAAACAGTTAAACATCCTTATGTTAGTCATCATTGTTATTTTTTCAAACGAGATATTCTAAAACAAATGGAAGGTACTTGGCCAGAACAATACAAAGAAACAAGAAGACATAAATTTAGAGAAGGAAATGATTTAGCAATTCCATTTATGCATGGTGCTTTTGTTGTTGAATCAGGTCAGGGGATTTATGTTAAAGAATATAATTATTATTATGGTTCTTTTACAAGTTCAAGACGTAGTAACACTAAGTTAATAAATAACATTGAAAAGAAACAACCTCAATGTATTTGTATTAATGATGCATTAGAAAAAAGTTCAGTAGCTGTAATTAATAAAGAAACAGCAATCCTTAACTCGTTTTTAGAAACGTACTATCCTTATCCTTGTCCATTTGAAAAATACATTCAATTTAATTAATCAATCAATTTACTTTTTTATATTTCATTATTTAATTCATATTTTTAATTAATTTTTCCTTTTTTTCTTTTATAGTTCTTGGTTCATGTTGTGTTTTATTTAATGAATGAGTAAATTCACGTTTTTCTCTAATGTGTTGGCTTTGGATTGTTTTTCGAGGGGCAGTTTCTCTTATTTTTTTAATTTGGTTCTTCCTATTTTCGTCAATAGAATTATTCCCTGTTTGAGCGTCAACGTCAATTGGTACTACTACTTTTTTTGTTTTCTTTATTACTCCAAAAGATTTTTTCCAATTATATGTTTTTTGTAGTTCATGTAAAATAGTAACATAACTAACACCATATTCTGATGTATTTAGAGGTGCATCATCTTCTCCTCGATGCATAAATTTTTTTTCATTCAATCTCTCACTAAATTGTGTGGTAGTCATTTCAACTTATATTATGAATAAAAAAAATTTTGATTAAAAAAAGTAATAATTCAAATTAAAAAATAAAAAATAATTAGGGTTTTGTTAAAAAAAAACAAAAAAATAAAAAAATTTTAAATTAAAAGATAGAAAAAATTAAAAAAAGGAATGAAGGAAAAGAAATGTCGAAAAATTGGGTTTTTCAAGTTGACCAAAAAGAAACTTTAGTTTTTTTATAGAAAACTCAATGAAACCCCATAACTTAGAGATACTATTAGTATTTATAATAAAACTAGTTGGGTTAATCAACCAACAAAAATTGTTATTACCTCTTTGTTTTTTAAAAAAGAAATTACAGATCTAGTTCTATTGCAAAACTAAGTATTAAGGGAAATTTGTATTAGTTTTTTAATTTTCGAAAAGAAAAAGAAAACCCCGGGGTAAAAGTTTAGTAAGAGTTTTGGAAAAATAACCAAATTAAAATTCTTTTTTTGATGAACTGCAAAAATTTAAATTCCATAAATGACTGAACTTGATTCTCACAAAGCCATTGTTGCTGAATTTAATAAAATTTGGCAAGAACAAGAAAGTAAATGGAAAGAACTCTTTGAAAATAGACAAATGACTACTACTGGAGATAATAGGTATTGGCATGATAGAGAACATATTCGTTTTTTGGTTTGTATAAAGTTTTTAAAAGCTACTAAGTGTAGTGGACTTCCAGTTAAACAAATAGCCATGTATATTTATACAAGAAATGGTATCCAAGTTAGAACTCATGCTCAAAAATATTTTAAAAATATTAGAGAATTAAAACCTGATGAAGAAGAAAAGGTGAATCTTCTCCTTGAAAGAGATAAATATTTACTTCAAAACTTATTTTCTCAACAAAAGAAAACACATATTAAAAAAAGTAAATTGTAATTACATTAACAGTTATTTTTTTTTTCTTTTCTTCTTTCAATTTTATTATTTTAAGAAATTATGTTAATGTTTTATTCATTTAGAATTTAATCTCATGAATTGCTTTAAACTTCATTTTATTTTTTATTTTAAATCACTTTTTTGTTTCTGTTTATTCTCTTATTATTTCTTTAATTTCTTATTTTTTTTATTAAAATGCCAACTTCTCATTTTTAACTATTTAAAAATAAATGTGTAATACTATTTAATACACCCACTTTAATTATATAAACCAACCTTAAAATTGATTGAAAAATATGATATCAAGTGCAATACAATAACTTTTATTGTTATTATCATGAATTTGATAGGTATAACAACACTATAAAAGATAATTAAGTAGTTTGAAATTAAAATATTAAAATATTTTTTGGGGTGTTAGTGGATTGAATAGACAAAATTAATAGAACTATAAATAAAATCTTGTATTCTACTGAGTCAATTAAATTACAATTACTAAGAATTTTCTTCTTTTTAAATAAACAAGAGAGTATATCAGTTCAGAGATGTTATGAAATTTGAATTTATTTAAACAATCATTAATAACAATTTCAAATTTATAATTAATAACATCCTATTATTTAATTAACAAAAATTATTGTCATTATTTTACTGTGACTATCTTATACTAATGAATTAAAATATCATATTATATTCATATCATTAGGTAATAAATAAAATTTCTTAAATATAAAACATAATTCAGAAGTTATATTTATAAAAACATGTATTATTTATTTTCTTTATAATGTGTTTAGTTATTCTTCTCAACTTACTTAATAAATCTATTGATAAAATGAAATTTAAAACAAAAGACAATTAAGTTAAACTAAGTATTTTCATTTTATAGTAATAGTATGTTTATTCAAATTTTCTTCTTATATTTATTTCAATAAAATTTATTTGTTAATAAAACTTATTAATATTTTCAACTATTTTGTATCTATTTTATTTTTTTAAATTATAAAAAAGTAAAGTTAAATAATATCCATAAATGAAATTAATTTTTATATATTATTATTTCTATTAATTGAATATGTCTCAAACAAATATCATAAGTAAAAGACTAAACAAATTAAAAAGAGATAGAATAATTTAAATTCATTGTTGCCACCAAATCTGATTTCTTTTGTCTATTTGTAACAATAAAAAAAAGAAAATTAAAAGGACAGAAACTTTGTTTATATTAAAAGAAATAGTTAATATTAAAGTATGAAATATTATTAAATTTATTGTTTTTTGGTTATTAATTTTTCAACCAAGTAAAACTAATAAATATATTCAACTGTTTTAAAAATTATGATAGTATAACAATTAAGATTTGTTCATTTTATTAAAGAAAGTATTTATTTAATGAAAATACAAATTCCAAATATCTTAACTTTTCTTCAATTTTATTTATTTGATCATCCATCATTTTCTTTTTAGAATTCTGTAACTTCTAAATATGTTCATCATTTAAAAAAATTATGATAAAACATTAAAGCAATAGTCTAATATTACTTATTTGGTAACTTAGAAAATAATTACTAACAAGTTTAATATAGTCAATGACTCTAAAACACAATATTATATTTACTATAATAATACTCATAATAATTTGCTTTAGTTTTTATTTCTAAACAAAAGGCTTTTGCCTCAGATAAAAATACCATAAAGAAAAATATTATATTCTATCAATTATTGTTTAACAATTAATTTATATATCTTTATCGAATCATTACTTTAGTATATATATAAACTTAAAGATATTATATTAAAATATCAATTCTATTCGTTTTAACAATATCCATTTTATCTTTTTTCTTGCTAAATCATTTTTTATTTATTCATTAGTAGATTAGTTTGAACAATAAAAGCTAATTCCTATTCTACTCTCAAGGTATTTACTTAATAAATTTGAAAATTGATTAAAAAAATTAAAAGTATTGTTTATAAATAATCCAAACACACGAATAATTATTCATTATTAATTTCTATTTAACAAGAATAAACAAAATAATGTCATTGAAATGTAAGATTGATACTAACATAAATCTAATTCAATAAATTCTTTTATAATATATTCACAAATAGAATATCTCTTTGTTAAAAAAAAAAACAAAATTAAAAAAGTTAGATTATTCTTTTTTTTAAAAAGAAGTTTTTCTTCCATTTCTTTCAAAAACAAAATTAAAAATAAAAAAAATAGTAAAACTTAATACTGAAATGAACTTTGTATGGAAACAATCTTAAAAAGAAATTTATTCTTTTTCATGAACAGCCTTAGTAAATGATTTCCATAAAAACTCATATCGTTTACTTGATTTTTCAAGGATTTTTTTCTTTTCTTTACTTATTTCTGATTGTGTTTGGGTTGGTTCAAGTTCTTGAGAAAGATTAAATAATTCATTTTCATTAATATTTTTTTCATTACAACACCAAAACTTTAAAATTTTTGGAACAAGAATAAAAGGATAAGTTGCTTTTTGCCTTGTTTGTAAATCCATCAATATAATTCCAATACTCCGGACTTTATAAAAGTTAATCATCTTTCCTTCACTAGACTTATTCCCATCATCAGTATAAACTAAATCAGTAAGTATTGACCCAATAAAGGGGATAGATGGAGGAGATGCTAATTTAACTAATTCTCTCATTTTACAAAAATTATTATCAGGAGAAATAAGAGAGTCTAGTTGCTTAAATAAATTAATTTCATCAATACTTAATAACCCCCAACTCTCTTTTAATCGATAAATACTACATGATTCAAGTCCAGCTAATACTGCTTTCATTCCATCAAAATTATTTAATTGTTTTAAATAATGAGCAACTGAAATAAAATAACGAATAGCAAATGCTCTTTCATAATTTTGTTCTAATTCAAGTATTTTTTTTTGAACAACGTTAATAATATTATTACTAAACCTTACCATTTTTAATAAGTTTGGTGCAAGGTTTTCTTTTTCTTTCTTCATCCATCCTTGTTTTAAAAATTCATCTAATTCAATTTTTTGTAATAATTCCATTTGTTTTAATGATAATTGTTTAGCACAGTCAAATGGAGAAAAACAAAATAAAGTGTGAATTATACTTTGAATTTCTTCATTAAAATCTGTAATAAACCATTGTATTTTTTTCCTACTTAATGAAGAAAATGAACTTTTTGAATATCTGTCGGATTTAATTGAAATAGAAGGTACTTTTGATTCATAACCTTGACAAGACCTGATAGATAAAGTAGAATTTGTTCCAAAATATTCACGAGGTGAAATAGAGCAATCAATAGATGAAATTGATTTTTGTTTCATTAACTTAGGTTCTTTAGGACTTTCAATTTCTTTATCAATTTGTACTTGAATTGCATGAGCTAAATTAGGTTTAAATGCCCAATTTTTTTTCATTAACTCATCAAGTTGTTTATAAAGTTTTTCATTTTGAAAATCAAACTTTCGATTTTGAATCCACATTCTAAGTAAACCCATCACTTTTAATCGAATTGGAATTAATACTTTATGTAAAAATGTCTCAAAATTAATTCCTTGTGGGTGTGTTGGATTAAATCGGATAATTAATAATTCCATAAGTTTAGAACTACTTACTACTAATGGATGAACAAGAATAAAACACTCTGAAAAAAAAATATCAGAACCATCACAAGATGTGATAAACTGTAAACATTTTTCAAGTGTTGCATATCTTATTATTTGTGAACCAGACCCTTTTTCATAAGTAAAAGTAATTGTTTTGTTTGTTGTTGGAATATCAAATAAGAAAGACTTAGGGGATGCATGATAATCACTCTCCTTGATTCTTGGAGAGTCACAACCTTTTCCCATAGAATAAGGACTCACCCCAGAAGCAAGGTTTTTAATTTGTTTCAAATCATGGGTTGGGATTAGTTGTTTACATAAAGGGCATCTCCCATTAACTTCTACGGACTGTTCAAAACACATTAAACAAATACTTTCTCCACATACTGGACAATGTATTACTTTGGAATGGTGTTCGCAAGTTGATATTTTGAGGTGAACCATAGAAGAAACAAATTTCTTCATTTGTATATAATAGAATGAAATTTGAGAGTTTGATTTATCTAAAAGTAACAGACCCCATTTGACTAACGTTTTATAGTTATATTTTCTTCTTTATTTATCTTTATTAATTGTGTAAAACAGGAAAAATAAGCAAAAGGAAATGAAGGAATAAAGAAAGAATAATCATTCCTTTGAAGAAGGGGTAAAAGTGTTTTATATATCATAAAGAATGAGAATGGATAAAAAAGGAAAAAAAGAACTAAGATTTTCATCAATGGCTGAAATAAATAAGGAACTTCAATTTATTATTCTTCAGTACTTCAAAAATGAAGAAAAAAATGAGTTGTTATTTAGGGTTGGTATGGAGTTAGGAATTTATTTTGATGAATCTTATATTAAAAAATTAGTTATTGAAGATCGATTATTTGAGTTGGATACTCTTTTAAGTAAGTTTATTCAGTTTGTTTATTATACAATACAATAATAATATAACTAATAATATGACTAATACCTTAGTGAAGATATTGAAAGTGAGTTACTAGGACTTGTTTATTTAAAAAAATATATAATGTATCGTGCGTTTTGTGATGGATGTCTAAGGATTACAAAACAAATATATTCTTGGCTCTTTAATAAAGGACAAAAGTCAGAACAAATTAAAAAGAATATTGAATCAATTTGTATCCATATTCATTTAGATAAATTTGATAAAAGTCCAATTATTTCAGAATATATGAAAGACCTAGATAAAATTAGAACTGAGCAATTAGCAAATGACATAATTACTTCTTTATTAAAAAGTGAACGTATCCAAAAGTTAAGAGAATTTCCAAAAATTAGTGATGAAAATCTTTTAAAGAAACTTATTTCTAAAGGAATAAGATTTGAACATATTAAAAATTGTAAAGGAACTCCAAGAGATGATATTACTATTGTTTCATTATTAAATATGACACATGAATGTCAACCAAATAATTGTCAAAATAGAAAATCAATTTTAAGAGACTCTATTATTATTCCAAAAAATATTTTTAACTTAAAAACAGAAATTGAAATCATTTCTAGTGATAATATCACTAATATAAAAATTTTTGACAATATTGTTGTATTTGTTATTGGAACTAAAATTATTTATGGAGTTAATCTACAAAATGGTCAATCTGTCTTTAAGTTAGAACTTCCTCAAATTATTTCATTTACTTTGAATAATACACTTCTTGCTATTTCTACTTCAACACAAGTATCAATTTATTTACTTGGACAAAACCTTCAAACTGTCAAAACAATTGAACGTCAAAATATTTCTTCAATCGTCTTCAATAATACTGATATTATTATTTCTGATTCAAAACAGTGTTTTGTTTATAATTATTTTAATGAGCAACCAACATTCGTATATCTAGATTGTACTGAGGTTATTCCAATGAAATTATCAAATACTTTTGGGGTAATCAAAGGAAATGAATTTTGTCTTTTTAATAAAAAGTTAGAAAGTGGGTATGAAATGATATTTCATTATCAATTCAATGAACCAATCAAAGCTATTATTGATAATACTATTATTGTTACTCTATCAAATAAATATGCATTAATCCCACAAACACAACACTTTAATATTAATATTCACAATAATTCTTATCCAATTGTCTCAGCAAATAAAGAAAATATTTTTGTTTTAAAAGATGAAACTCTTTATTGTATTAATTCAATCACAAACAAGGAAGTAGCACATATCTCAATACCTAAAGAAACAATCATTGCTACAAATGACAATGTTGTTATAACTAAAGCAAAAACAATTGAAAGTATAACAATGTATAATATCAAACCTTCATATTCTATGATAAATCTTATTGACCCTGTTTCTTCAATAAATAATAAATATAATACATTAACAGAAATGACTCTAGTAACAGAACAAAAGAAATTATCAGTACAACAAAAAAATACAATAAGTACGAATACCCCCATTTATCCAATAAAACGAAGGACTGACTCTTTACCAATACCAGTTAGTGAAAAAAAAAGAGTTGAAGAAATTTCAAAAGAACCTATTGCAACTTCATTTGATGATTTAATTAATGAAAAAGTTTCAACTAAATGGGTATTAAAAGAACAACAGAAATTGATAACTATTAAAGCTGTTATTAAGAAGTTCCATTTTATTTCTCATGAACAATTGATGATCTGTGAAACTAAAGAAAAGTCATTTTTCTTATTCAAGTTGAATGAAAAAAGTTATGAAAGGCTTATATCTAAAACAAATCAAGAGCCAGACATAGCCATCTCAAAAGAAATCAATCAATATGGTCCATTTGGTGAAATGACAAGAAATGGTGCATATTTTATCTATTGGGACGGAACATGTTGTACGTTAGTTAGGTCTCATTTTCAAAAGAGTGTGACTACTTTTTGTGAATGTTTGTCGTCACATCCAACATTAAGTAGCTTAGGCATTTTCCCTATGGATTCAAATAGTATTCTTGTTGGATTTGATGATGGAAATATTGCTATTTATAAAGCAAATAAAAAATTTTGTTTCATCCAATTACCCAACCCAGTTCATGATACAGTTTCATATTTTATATTCTACAACCAAGAAGATAAAAAAGAAATAACTACTAAATTCATTGTTCTTTATGAGAATGGAATTGTTGAAGAACTACTTTATGATAGAAAAAATAACCAACTTAGTAAAACAAATTGGTGTGTTGATTTGAAACCTCAGAAGTTGGTTTATGGATTTGTTGATTCACAAAATCAAAAGTTATATGTTGTAGGTAAATACAGTTTAAATCAAGTTGATTTGTCTACAAAAGTTGTTAAAAAAGTATCATTCACCGAGGTTATTTCTAGTGTAGCCTTATCTCATAATAATAGAAATCTTATTGTTGTTATAAAAAGTTCATTATATAACGTTAGCCTAGAAAATATTAGTGAATATTTACCAATAGAAAAGTCATCAGAAATAAATGACATTGAATGGATAGAACCTTATGGACAAGACTCTTTTGCTATTTCATGTAACGGTGGTGATATTAGAAGTTGTTGTTTTGAAGAAATCTCCTCAAATTAAGTGATTGATTTTTTAAAAAATATATAATAGAATTCATTACCAAAATATTATTGAATTGAAAAATAATCTTATAAAAATAATCCTTATTCTGTTAAATGAAATCGCTTCAAAACCCAAAACCATTTGAAGAAATGCAATCACTTGTACCTCAGGTTATTGAGTCTCTTGAAAAAATGAGAACAGAGGCAATTGCATATTTAGAATGTTTTAGTGATAAAAAATTTGAATCAATTCAAGATGAAATGTATGATGAATCAATTAAAAAATTAACAGAACTGTTTAATCATGTAAATGAAATAGAGTGTAGAAATAAAAATCTTGCAGACTCTACAAAAAAAGTAGTAAACTATCTTGATCAAACTCAAAAAAAGTCACAAGAAATTCTTTCTTCTATTGAACAAGATGGTATTTATTTTGACTAACTACAAAAGTAAATCATTAAAGTTTTATTAATATTACCTTGAATTATGTTGTTTATTATTAACTCAATCCTAACTTAATAGCCACTTCTTTCTCATTAAAAATGTTAGTTTTTTTTAAATAGTACTATACTTCTTTATATTTATAAAAGAATTATTTTTATTATTGCTCATTCATTGTAAACTCAATTTAATTTAAGTCAATTTATTAAACAAATTTTAATACTTATCAATAAGAATAAATAAAGAAAATATTTTATCTAATTACACTTTTTGATATTAAACAGAACTATTTCTTTTTGGAAATAACTATTATTTTAAAAACATCAGAATTTATCTTTTTAAAAAATAAAACAAGAGAGATGAAATAAATTATGGAAGAATAAGAAATAAATAATTATTCTTTTATCAATACATAAATAACAATTAAAGAGTTATAACAAAATAAAACATATCAAATAGTTTAATTTATTATCCAATTTCACTTATTTAATTAAGAATAAAATAATAATTAATTTGTATTATTTCATTCACTTGGTTCTATTTCTCCAATGGTATTATTATTTCTTTTTAGTTTTATCTTATTTGCTATTAAATGTACATCAATTTCATTAATTATTATTGTGTTATATATTGATTTGTTTGATTTATGTATTTTCATCTTTATTTATTTTTCACAACATATTGATATTTCTATTTTTATTAATTTTTATTACATTGTTGCTTACCCTTTATTTTATATTTTTTTTCTTTAATTTATTCTTTTATTGAATTTGTTTGTTTCCAAAAACTTCTTTCATCTACTTTATGCACTTTATTATTATATGTTTATTTATTATTTATACTTATACTCAATCGTATAATGAATACAACACTATAAATTAATGAAAACAATTATGACTATGATGTTTGTATGAAATAGAGAAAGAGTTATAAGAATCTGAAAAACTTAAATAGGAAACGAAGAATATATTATATATAAAATGAGAGAAAATGTTATACAAGTAGAAAATATCATAACAGGGAATTAAAAGAAGAAAGAAGAAGATATAGAAGATATAAATAATAAAATAATAATCAAATATATAAATATTCAAATAATCTCACAAGTATGATATTTTTATTTGATTTATCAAATATTCAAATAAACAATTAAATAAAATAGTTTGAACAATTAGAAGATTCATACTTGAAAATAATGTGATAAAAAATAACAAAATTCACAATGACTATTTTTAAAATTTAAATAATTAAGAAATAAATTAATATCAATAATAAACATCTCATTACATCATTTGAAAGATATACAACATAAAAAGAAGAAATGAAAATGAAAGAATATAAAGTATCAAAATAGAAAATACATGGATTATATAATAAAATAATAATTCATCATAAAATTTGAAAGAGAATAAATTGATGAATAAAAACGATTAATTATATAAAAATGCATAAAAATAAGTTATAATGAAGTATTTAATAATTCATAAAATGCAAAGAGATGAAAATATGATGTAAATAAAATGATTTTATTTTTCAATTGAATTTGATCTTATAATGTGAATGAATAAATAATGAATAAATTCAAATAGAAATAAAATACAATGTAATTAAAACAAGAATAGATGATTGAAAATTGTCATTTACTTTAAAATTATTTGAAGGAAGAAAGAATGGTTTTTTGTTATTAACCATTATAAATATTAATGAATGTCATTTCTTTTTGTAAAGTAATTTTCATTTCTTATTTTACATAATGCATGAAACACAATAATTTGTACAACTTATTTTCATATTCTCTCATTATAAAATAACAAACATCATTTTGTGTATGTTTGTAATGTATTTGAAAAAAAAAACAAATGATAAAACATGAAATTAACAAAGAATAAAACAATTAAATTTAAATATATTTGTTTATTCAGATGATTTAAAATTAATCAATTAATTATTTTTTAACATTAAAAGAATAATTAAACTGAGTGATAAATTAAATTCAAAAGTAAAGTAGTTAATTAATTCACAAATTTTGTTGATACTCATTTTCAGTAGAATATGAATGAAATGATAATAAAATATTAAAGATAGTGTTAATTGTACAAAGATTCAATATTAAAAATGTTTATAGCAATATTCAAAATTGTTAAAGTTATATATGATATACTTCACTTTAAATACTTTTGAAATGAGTGTATTATATGAATAAAATAGTAAAACCATAACACAGTGAATTGTTGGAAAAAGAAGAAAGTTGTAAAGGATAAAAGAAAAAAAAAGAGTTGAATAAAATTATTAAATAAATGAAAATATTGATATTCAATGTATTTTATACATTAACAATATAATGAAAAAGGAAAAAAAATAAAACCAGAAAATAAAATAGAAAAAAAAATGAAAGCGAATAATATTAGAATTAAGTTGTGACTTTAATGAACCATTAATGAATGTTTACTCTTTCTAGTATCTTTACTGTTTTGAGAAATACATTTCTTTTGATATTCAATGATCTCTATTTTGTTATTGTTAATCTCTTATCGTTGAATATTCAATACACACTTCCCACATACCTTCAATTTTTCTTTCGTTTAAACAATACTTAATTCACTTATCTTTATTTGTTATTTTCTATTTATTTTCATTCTATTTATTTCCATTGGTTATTATTAAAGTATATATGATGATAAAAATGAGTGAAATGATTTATATAATTATTGTGATTGGTGTATCTCTGATTATACAAATACTACACAATTCACACATTCATCTATCATTTATATTTATTTGTTGATATGAAATTCTCTTTTGTTATTATGTTTACTGTTTTTGTGATATTTCATGTTTTTCATTTTTATTCGAAAGAAAATATATAAATGAAATTGAATAGAATTGAAATAAAAAGGTAATATTTTTATATCACAATCATTACCCCCTTTAATGTTATTATAATTTCAGAGCAATGATGTTTGAAATGATGAGCCAATGAAATGGTATCAACAATAAAATTAAAATAATAAACAACAGAGAGTAGAATGAAATAATTCAATTGGTTTTATCTATTTTTATTTAAAGAAATTCAAGTCAATAAAACCGATAAAAAGGAATGAATAAGAAATAATTAACATTGTAAAATTACATTAACGAAAAGTTTATTGTAATTTTGTTTCATATACGTGTCATTAACGATAAAAATAAGAGGGAATAAAATGCTAAAAACAGTGTTTAGTATCGAAGCAAATGATGTTTATAAGAAATAACCAATCAGAAAAGAGGTAACACATTTAAACAAATAACCTATTTTACCGAATGGTATGTATTTAAACAAAAACAAGCAAACTTAATAAACATTCAATGTCAAGAGTAGTTGTAAGATTCAGCTTGAATGGACAATGCATTGCAAATAAACCACTAAATTCACAAGACAAATTGAAAACAGCAAGAGAGAAAATAAAAGAAAAGATGTCTGACTCTCAACACTTTTTAACAAAAGATGGTGATGTAATTGATGTGAACGATGAAGAGAGTTATACTATAGGAGATGTAATTGATGAAAAAAGAGTAATAAATATTAAAGGAACAGAAGTTAAAAAAGGAATAAGAATAAAGATAAATGATAAAGTACTTACCACACTTGAAATAGACAATAAAACAAAAATAAACATTATTAGAACATTGGTTCAAAATATTCCAGAATCAGCACATTTCTATACAATTGACAATGACAAAATTGAACGAGATGAAGAAGAAGATTATATAGTCCAAGATATAATAAATAATGAAGAAATTAATCTTAAAGAAGAGAAAGAAAATACGTCAGAAGAAGAGAATGTAACTATTAAAATAAATTTGAATGGAAAATTGTTTATGAAAAAACAGTTAAACAAGAATACTTCTCTTGCAAATATCAGAAAGAAACTTGAAATTGTAACATGTGTAACAAAAGGTTTTGTATTCAAAGATCAAGAAGGGTGTGAAATATCAACTGATAAGGAAAAATCGTTAAAATTATCATATATTCTACATGATAACATTTTTGATATAACAGAAAAAGAAGAATCTGATACTTCACCAACTAATACTTCAGCACATGGCACTTCACAAAATAATACCATAAATGTATCTAAACAAAACATTCCAATTAAAGGAAGTAAAAGACTTCAGAATCATGAAGAAGGAAAATTGAAAATATATTTATATCCAAATGAACCTTTTAATCATAAAGATGAGAATGATGCGATTGCTATTCTAGTCGTTGGTGAAACAGGAAGTGGGAAAACTACATTATTAAATAGTTTTGTAAATGCATTATATGGAATTAAAATAACAGATGACTTTAGATATATAATTATAAATGAAGATCATTTAGAACAGTATGGAAATATGTCTGTAAGTCAAACGAGTCAAGTTTCAATTTATAATATTAAAAGAACAAAAAGAACACCACCAATCAAAATAATAGATACACCAGGATTTGGAGATACAAGAGGAATTGCATGGGATAAAGAAATTACTAAACAAATAAAAAAAGCATTTGAAACGAAAGTATTTGATTTAAATGCTATTTGTTTTGTTGCATCATCAAGTAATGTAAAATTAACAGCTAGTCAAAAATATATATTTGGGAATATTGTTGATTTATTTGGAAAAGATGTTAAAAAGAATTTTATTGCAATGCTTACATTCTGTGATGGTAAAAAACCACAAGTTATAAATGCATTACAATCAAAAGAATGTATTTTCAGTACAATTATTCCAGAAATAGATAATCCGTGGTATTTAAAATTTAATAATTCAGCTATTTATGATGATAATACAGAAGATGAATTTACACAAATGTTTTGGAAATTAGGTATGAAGAATTTTGATGACTTTATTTCAAAGTTAGTAAAACTACCAAGAATTTCATTAAAACAATCAAGAGAAGTGTTGAAGAGAAGAGAATGTATTAAAACTCAAATTGAAGGATTAAGGATATCATTAAACAATGGTTTATTGAAATTGGATGAAATAAAACAGTATTGCGAACAATTCTATTTGAATCGAGATAAAGTTAAAAATAATGAAGATTTTACTATTACTGTAGATATAACAAAACAAATTAAGATTGACTTAGAACCAGGAGAATATGTAACTAACTGTTTTTATTGCCATAAAACATGTCATTATCGATGTTATATTCCAGGAGATATGAAAAGAGAATGTTATTGCATTGATAATGATTATTGTAATGTATGTAAATGTCATTATAAACACCATGCAAGTTCACCATATAGATTTGATTATGTAATAGTGAAAGAAAAACAAACGGCACAAGAAATACTTGAAAGATATAATGAAGGTAAAAAAGGTATGGCTAATGCAGAAAGTATGTTAAAAAAGTTAGAAGAAGAGTATTATAATATTCAAATGGATTGTTATGATAAAGAAATTGAAATTATCGAATGCGTTAATAAATTGTCCGAAATTGCATTAAATGATAAAATTACTAGTTCGAATGAATATTTAGACATATTAATTCAAACAGAAAATGAAGAAAAGAAAACAGGATATAAAGTACGAATTGAAGGATATAAACAACTTAAACAAGCAAATGAAATAATAGAAGATATTATGAAAAAATCAACAACAAAAAAGAGTAAAGAAGAAATTAAGGCGGAGTATGAAGTTAAAAGGAAAGAATTAAAAGAAGGAGAAAAAACAACAATGGATAAACTCATTGAAAAAATGAGAAGTTTATTTTCCTGGTAAAATCAACTAACCAAAAGAAATGAAAGTTTTAATTAACTGGTTTTAAAAAATATTTTTTTAATTAAGGAATAAAAATGATAAATAATATTCATT